AAAGAAATTACAGGACACCTGATTTTGGGCCAAAGCCCGCATGGGTGCCCTATATGCAGAGAAAGGTTGCTCGTAATAGAGGCGTGTCATGCCTTGGCTCCATACAGAGAGCGTGTAGGATGCCGCCGGATTTAAGAATGGTTCTCGGACACGGTAGCGAGTTTCAGGGTCCCCTGTTCCGCTTTTTAGAGGAATTGGAAATTTTTTATTGTATTGTATGACTGAGTGTATTTATGAGAGTGAATGGGGAGGGGCTGATGGTGGAATAGCATCCCCATCGTCCCTCGAGCTGTGTACGTGACTCGGGTCGATGGCGGAATATTTATTAAAGTACCCGATCGACCCCAATTAGATTAGTCATTGTATGCAGGTCGATGGAAGAATAATGAGTACTCCATCTACCAAATAGAATGAATGGATATAGGTGTGAATGTATTTATTTGTGTGAAGGCGAATTGAACGTGTGTTGTAATATTTCCCATGCACTCGGAGCAGAAATGACCAAGCTGTCGGATGCCCCTTGAAAAAAAAAAAAATATATATATNGCTCCATGTCACTTTAACTCCCTCAGAGTACTCGATATTTATAGACTTTCCTGTAAAGTCATAAATAGGGGTTCCAAAATAAACCTACATATATAGCAATGAAGAAAAGGTTAGAATACTAAACTTTCGGTATAATATAAACTCTAAACTATTTCAGATTTATATAATGTTTGTTCAAAACCGTCATAAAAAACGGGCGAGAATCATTTCCCAGATTACTTTTTAATAAGATTTCCTGTATTTGTTTATAACCTGCAATGTGGCATATAACTGAACTAAAATTCTTTAAGAAGTTTTTATAGTCTTTTACAATAAAGTTTGATGTATTTATTTTGTATTAAACTGCTACAAAACGCTTTCGTGTAAGAAAATTAATAAGGAACTTCAGGGGAAGTGGTCGTTGTTGCTAAGTGCTAATAGGTTTGGAGTACTTATAAGACTTTAACCCTCAACTTCTTAGCAACTCCTTAGGTGATTGATACATACTTTCCGGTAGCCGTGGCACGGAATTAAACACTTGAACCTGCCCTGAATCTATTCGTAAATAAGTCGAATCTCTTGTCGAGAATTCTTTCCCTGATTTCGCTCTTTTTGTTTGCCTTTTTTTGAAAAGCCAAACTCGTTCGTAATCATTGTTTGTTGTGTAGTCGCTCCGAGCAAATGTTTGTTCAGAGTTTAACGGGTGTTACATTTCGAATAACATGGACGCAATTTCTTATCAGTCGTAAGCGCGTCAGTGTAAAATCTTCCTCTCAATGACTCTCGATCTTCGACGAAACAGCTACTGTCCCACCAACAATTCCCAACATTTTATAACCTGTGACAAAATCAGCTATATTTCGCGTCGAAAACTAAAAAAAAAATTATAAATAAAATCGACAAAAAGTAACTCGCATTTTAACTGTTTATATTTATATATTTTTAATTATTAACTAATGACCGACTGAGTGGGATAATTTCTTTTATAAGAGAGTAAACAGTCAATGAGATATGTTAGCAAATGAAAGAGCAATAATTAAAAAAAAATATTTATCAAGATTAACGCCCCATGTTAACAAGGATTGTTTGACAATTATTACGAGACCTCAACTACTTACATCACATGATTTGAAGAAGTGCCGTTCAATCGGCGCAGAATGAATGAAATATTTTCAAGAGGAATCACCGCGGATTTACAACAAAATCCTCAAAGGATAAAAGGATCAACACACATTGTTGATCGTACATGTAACAACATTTTGTGGTACTAAAACTCAACCAATGTTACAACTACATAAACATAAATCGTAAATTGATCAACGTGTCTTTGTGAAAACAATATATATTAAATATTTATTTTACAATGTATCAGGAACCTTTTTTATAAGGAGTGTCGACAATCCAAAGGCACCCATTTCGTGTTGTTATTAAGAAGGTAAAATAATAAATATTAAGCTAAATTAAAAGTTTGAATGAATTATCACTTGAATTTTACATACATGAAAGAGAACTATGAGACCTTCTAAATTTAGCCATAATCTTGCATGAGCAATAAGAAATTTATCAGATATTTCTGAGACGGAAACTCTTTTGCAATATGTAATAAAAAATATATATCTTAGAAATGACAATAACATGAATTTCTTTTCTTTTCTACTACCACCTTTATCCACCTTTAAAAAAGCTGTCTGATGAAGACGTTTATCTTTTTGTATCTCTCACTCACTCACTCACTCACTCACTCACTCACTCACTCTCTCTCTCTCTCTCTCTCTCTCTCTTTCACTCACTCACTCACTCACTCACTCTCTCTCTCTCTCTCTCTCTCTCTCTCTCTCTCTCTCTCTCTCTCTCTCTCTCTCTCTCTCTCTCTCTCTCTCTCCCTGTTTAAACGTTCTCTAAACTCCCAAACTGCATGCGGAAATGTAATAAAATAGAAAGTTTTAAAAAACAATTAAAAACTCGGCTACTTTCAAACGATTTTGTAAAAAAAATTAAACAAAAAATGTTCTTTTATTTTTATTATGTTAATTACTATTTCTATTTTAATAACTAAGTTTATATATATTTCATTACTGTTATAAGAGATGCAGAAACTAAGGTTAATTCAATTTAAAACTATGCTTAATTTAAATCATAATACTGTCTGACATTTTAATATCCCTCTGTTAGTTGTAAATGCCCTGTAAAAGAATGTTCAGTTATTTTACTTTGTTCTGAAGAAATTTTGTTTTATTTTGAAAAGCAAAATTTAATTATTTAGTTAATGTTATGTTATTTTTCGTTTGCCTTCTTGTTAATATGTAAACAGATTATGTAATATTATACAATGAATTGGTCAAAGTGTAAAACCAAGGAATATTTTTGTTTTATGTACTTCTAAAAGATTGAGTAGAGCAATTGTAAAAATAAATCTGTACTTGTCTTTAGATGCAAGAGTGGTCCTCCAAATCTTGAGAGATTATGTAAATAAATCGATATCAATCAATGAATCAATCTCTCTATTTATCTCTCTCTTGTTTTCCCTGTATATCTCTCTCTCTTTCTCTCTCTCTCTCACTCTCTCTCCCTCTCCTCCTCCTCCTCCTCCTCCTCCTCCTCGGTTTATTTATTTGTATGCCTTTTATCTTCCTATCTGCCTATATAATCTAATAGATATATTTTTCTATGCCCATTGCTCTCTCTCTCTCTCTCTCCCCAACTTCTTTCTTTCTATTTTTGTTCCTCTTTATTTCGAATTTCATTCCCCATCTAACTATATTCTATTCTATCAAATTCCTTAACAAAGCTGCCTTTTTTCCGTTTTCTCTCTCCCCTCACCATCAGTTTCTCATTTTCTCACACTCTGTTCTTCCCCTTATTCTTCCACCTTCCCATCATTTACCATTTACCTACGTATTTTTCTAACTATCAATTTACGTACTTATCTATATAATCAAATCGATATATTTTTCTGTGTCTCTTTCCGACTGTNTCTCTCTCTCTCTCTCTCTCTCTCTCTCTCTCTCTCTCTCTCTCTCTCTCTCTCTCTCTCTCCCCAACTTCTTTCTTTCTATTTTTGTTCCTCTTTATTTCGAATTTCATTCCCCATCTAACTATATTCTATTCAATCAAATTCCTTAACAAAGCTGCCTTTTTCCGTTTTGTCTCTCCCCCTCACCATCACTTTCTCATTTTCTCTCTCTGTGCCCTTATTCTTCCACCTTCCCATCACTTACTATTTACCTACGTATTTTTCTAACTATCAATTTACATACTTATCTATAATCAAATCGATATATTTTTCTGTGTCTCTTTCCGACTGTCCTCTCTCTCTCTCTCTTTCTCTTTCTTCTCATTCTCCTCCTCTTCCCCTCCTCGCTCTATTTATTTATCTATCTTTTAACCTCCTACCTGCCTGTATAATCTAATCGATATATTTTTTGTGCCCATTGCTCTCTCTCTCTCTCTCTCACTCTCTCTCACTCTCTCTCTCCCCTCTCCTCCTCCTCCTCCTCAGTTTATTTATTTGTATGCCTTTTATTTTCCTATCTGCCTATATAATCTAATCGATATACTTTTCTATGCCCATTGCTCTCTCTCTCTCTCTCTCTTTCTCTCTCGATTTGTGACATTCATGATTGTTTCTAATGTGTTTAGTGACCGTTAGTTAATGATTATTTGGCCCTGAAGATGACCTCAATAAAGATCGAAACGTTGGCACGATAAAGAAAATGTTTTTCTAAAACCTACGCCAAATCAGACCGCATTTCTCGATTTGCAAATAATCATTGTTTCTAATCGAAGAAACTGTGGATTATACACATTTGGAGGTACATTTCCATTTTTATTATTGTTATTATTTTTATTTTATTTTTTTGTAACGTCGCGCCATGCATGAAAATATTTGTATAGAAATACCACATGACTAGTCCTGTTATTGTAATAAAACTTGGTGGCCGTGGTAAAATTTCGTATTATCTACAAGGTTTTTGTGGGTTTTTAAATACAAAATAAATCGTTATATTAATATTCACAGAATTTTTGAATAAAGTATTTGTACGTACTTTGTTTTGTATAACAATAACTACGATGTCATTGTGAATTATTCTGTTGGTGATTTTTTAGGATGAACTTGAAACTTGACCTTAAGATTCTACCAGTTTTTTTACCTGTATACATTTATTTTCTTCATTCACTTTTGCGCTTTTCCTTCACAACGACCATACAAAAAGTTGAAAACCTGAACCATTTTCCACATACTGTTCAAACTAAGCATTATTTCTGCTTGAAAAATCTTTTAATGCAATATAGTAATATAAAAATTTCTATAATTTTAAAGTAAATTATTTCAGTTCAAAAGGAACACAGTGGGTGTTGAATATTATGTAATTTTAAAAGAGATTGTCCGATCAAACTGGGATAAAATTAACAAAACGATAAGACAGTTGGTACTATGTCAGGGCGTATCTAAACGATTAGAGGCATCTTCAATTAATTTCTCGCAGTGTTAGTAATCCCTTGATCTATTGTGTTAGTTAGCGTGCATTTGAAATTTAGGCATTATTATTTCAAGCTAGAAACGTATAAGGCCTTTTGTCAAAAGGTTACAAAGGTGCATAATTCGATTTTTTTAAATGGTATACCCATCTTAACATAACATCCACGATCCGGAGGTTAACAGGCCGGAGGCAATTGGAGGGAGACGGTGCAAAATTTATGAGAAGATAATACATTCCCGCCGAGGGACCTGTTCTGTTATCAGTCTGTTCCGAGGTTGCGACTCGTTAGGTATGGTCCAGCCGAAATGCAGCTTCCCTCAGCAAGTATCCTCAGACAGTATCTCGCAGCATTTATCAGTGAGTCGTTTATCCATTTAAATCCCGATTTAGAAAAAAGTCAATGAACGGGGCATAATCAGTCGGTCAGTCCTTGAAATTTGTCGGTGGCTTTCAGGTCGATTATTTTCCGGCAAGGCTTTCTCGAAATTCTTTATACGTATTTATTACAAAAGTATTGTTTTTTGTTTAATTTAGAATGTTGCCCAATGAATTTTTTAGCTAATTCCGAGCTTTCAAAATGGACTAATATTATATATTCTATGAGTATTTTTCCCTGGTTGAATTATTAAACATTTTTATAATTTTACATGAGTTTATTCTGGAATAAAACAATGTTGTCATTTTATTTTGTTTGATTGAGAACTTTAGTCTTATTATTTTTGGATATATCAATCTCCCAATATATAAAAAATAATTGGTTTGTTATTTCTTAAGAGACCCCATGTAAAACAGAAAAAACAGATTAAAGCTGAATTATTGATCCAAAAAAGATTGTAATGAAATGTTTACACACCTAAAATTGTTCAGTTATTATAATTATGTGATACATATATATACGTTTACAGGTTTCCATTTTCCAAATAAATACGCAAGTTTTTCTATATATATATTTATTTAGAAATCGTGAGATGCGGTATGGTGTGATGTAGGCTTCAGAAAAACATTTTCTTTATCGTGCCAACGTTTCGATCTTTATTGAGATCATCTTCAGGGCTCAAAGTGTTTGCTTCTGTGTAATTGTGCCATTCTTGCATGTCGTGTCGAGAGTACCACACCAGACCGCATCTCACGATTTCAAATAAATATCGATTAACGGTCAATAATCAACACACATTTTTCTATATATTTAGATTTTTTTAAGAACAACTTCATTCAAGTTTTCCTTAAAAATATCTAAATATATAGAAAAACTTGCGTATTTACTTGGAAAATGGAAACCTGTAAACGTCAAGTTAATAAATGTTCTATACGGAATGGAATTTCCATAAATATCAGTATTAATCAGTTTTAATGGATTTTTTGCATATAGCAATTATTCTCCCCAGAAATGAAATCGCAAAGTTTTGAATTAAATTCATTTAGATAGCAAGTAAATTTCTTAACGTAAAAACATTCTGTTTTCGTAACACCAAACAACATTGTTGTCGTGCTTAATCGCATAATAAAACATGTGCCCTTTTATGCAACGTGGAAGAATTAAAAATGCGTAAGAAAAAGTGTTCAAGTCATTATGTAAACGTTGACGTTATGTAACATAATAAAAGTACATGAAATACGACAGATTTGTGAGGAGAAAAAGAGGGAAAATAGGTTTCATTCATTGTTGTGCTGTTTTCTGTTATGATAGAGCGATTGTTTTGCCTGAAAATATTTCACTCGTGTTGAATAAATTTAATTATTTACAAATTGGCCGAAACAATTATCATTAATTGTGATAAAGTAAAATTTTCTATTTTTCTAAATGTTTTGGTTATTAAGTGAAAAGGGCAATTTTTTGACAGAGGAATTTTTTCTAAAAAATCTAAATATATAGAAAACTTGCGTATTTACTTGGAAAACGGAAAACTTTAAACGGCATGGTATTTCCATAAATATCAGTATAAATCAGTTTTAATGGATTTTTTGCATATAACATTATTTTTCCCTGAGAAGCGAAAAGTTTTGAATTAAATTAATTTAAATAGCAAGTAAATAATTCCAATTATATTAATATTATACATGTTTTACGATTACGAAAGCCACATGCAAAAACAGATCGTGTCGACGGTTGCATAAGTCAGCAATAAAACATTGGGAAAACTTGCAAAAAAAATTCCTTCAAGGTTGCTCTTTTTTTATATAGTTTTTATATTGAACTGGATCTATTACAAGTTCCCACAACCTGCTAGCATCGGATAGGAGAGGAAAAACCACGATTTATGAAGTATAATTTCACTCCAAAGGGAAAAACCAGATATTAACTTAGATAACGTTAAAAACGTACATGAAGAATGATTTAATCCTATTTTGGACAACAAATGCGACTTAAATCGGCTATGAGCGTACGAACTTGAACTGTGAGGTCAATGGGTTGATTGAAACAGTTGGTCATATAATTAAAAATCTCAAAAATATTAACTTTACATCTCGACTTTCCTTTTTGCCTAAAAGCAAATCAACAAATGACTATCCTAATTCGTTCTTTATTTAAACAACTAAAATCATTCATAACTTTAGTTAGAAAAAACATAAATTAACTCTAAAATATTTTAAATTTAAATTTGGCGGATGATAGGCATTTTCTCTCCAGTACTTCAGTTGCATCGTTTTTATGAATTGTATGCTTATTATTATTACTATAAGGTTATATGTATTAACTTTTTTAGTTTTCATATTTTGAAGAAATCAAAAAGACACATTTGAATATTCAGCTGAGATGAAGTTCTAAAGAGGAAAGATTTAAAGAAGCATCCGCCTTTCAGCAATCATTAAATAAAATTAATAAGTCCTTGGTCTAACAGAAAGCAAAGGTGGATCCTTAGGATCACCCAAATATTTAGGGAGAATTATAAGATCGTAAATAGTTAAATATTTAATTTCTGTACAAAATATGTATTTATAGTTGTAAGTATCAAATCAGTTAGTTACATAGTTGATAAATAAATGTTTTGTGCCATATTTAATACAGCTTAGACTAGTACATAAAGCACAATGACTAAATAAGCCCACCCCTCGTGAAAGTATAAGTACCTCTTGCTGGGACCTCCAGTGGAGGAACTCCCTAACCGCTGTAAACATTATTTCCATTAGGGTTTATTTACCGAACAAGAAGGTCGTAAAGCCACTGGCGTTAGGGGCTTATTGATAGATTAACGAGGAAGGAAGATTATTCGATTTGAATATTCATTTGCGACGCATGCACAATTTTTCCCAAGTGCTGTCAAAAATTGGCTAAATAGTTTAATTTTTTTACTTTCGTGTGATCTTTTTGTTGTCGCTTTTTTTCTGGGTTGAACATTTAGCGGCACTTTGTGGAAACTAATTTGATCTGAGCTTTCTTGGGCAAGATGTCTGTTGTTTCGTTCTTTTAATGGCCACTTTCTTGATGAGCCACTGACGGATGGAGAACCAGTTTGCCATTTTGTACATATCTGGTGAGCTTGATGTCATTGTAGATGATCTCTGAACAATTGACTACCTGCTACAAGTATATATTTAAATTTTCTTTATGGAGCTCCCTTTTAAAGCAAATGTTAGGAAGGATGCTGGATGTAACATCTACTCGGAATGGTGTGTTCATGTTTTTGGTCAACCAAATTTTTCACGTGGAAGTTGTTGGACTGTGCATAAACCAAAATCAAGAAGGTTTGAAAGCCTTTTATGAACCTTTTATATTTACCAAAGAGGGCTCGTTTTCCTTTATTCAAGAGGTTTGAGAACGAGCAGCAGCCTGACGGTTGAAGAACTTCGTTTGTCATCTTGGGATGTTCTTGTAGAATTTTGATGATGTCAATGTAGATAATCACTGAACAATCAACAACCTTTGAGCAGGATGCTGGCTGAAGCCATTTATCTGGTGATAATGCGGTGTCCAACTCTTTGGTTAATTAATTAATTGGTTGTTTTATGATAGAGATCGTTTTCCTTCAATCAGGTTTGACAATGACCAACAGCTCTGACTTACAGTTAAAGGACCAGTTTGATACATTTTAGTTTTCTTGGTGAACTTTGTGTCAGTGCAGATGATCACTGACAGAGCCAACTATCTGGCTACTAATACAGATTTAAAGTTTGTCTTTGTATTATCCTTTGCCAAGTAACATTAGGAAGAATCATTTTATGTAACGCTTTGGTTGAAAAAATAGCTAGTGTTACGAGCGGGATTCGAACCCACGACCTTCGGCTCAATACGCTGCTCTAACCACTTGAGCTATCGTTCGACGAGCTTTGGTACACTCGGACACCTAATCCCCATCTCAACCTACAGCCTTTCGAATTTTCCCTCCTTTTTGCCCTTTTTCAACGGGTGGGTTTGGGTCATTTTTTATTTCAACCAAAACCTTACATAAAAAGATTAATTAATTGAAAGGAGTAATTTGGTCAATGGTATAATGGATTAGGAAGGATGTCGGATGTAGCAATTTATCTAGAGGCATCCCCGATACACTTCTGCTGATAAGCTGAGCAGGTGAATTAATTGTGATTCTTTTCGTACGTAAAGTAATTTGTCTATCCAGACTCGTAGACATTTCATTTAATTTACTTCTTTAAAACGTTTTTATGACAAAATATCCTTTTTTATAATTAAAAAAATGATTTGAAATTTTTTTCGGCTTGAACCTGATTTTGTTACCCTCATTGTCTCAATGTTATGTAGCACGTCAATTGCCATAATATGAGTAGTTTTACGCATTTATCGGACAATAGATGCTACTTTGGGGTCATGTTTTTATAGCAGTTGACTTATGGACATAAAGTGATGTTGATGAATTTTATTCACCATGTATAACATAGCACAAAAACATAACCTCGTAACCCTCAACGATAAATGTCACAGTTTTTCGTTTAAGTCTACTACTTGATGAACATTGACCGCACTTGATCGACTATGGATAGTAAAGCCCCCATGCATAATGACCTAGCACACTGCTTTTTATGGTAAATGTGGAAATCAATATCCAGATATTGATCTTTAGTCCACCAGATGTGAAGCGAGGTTTTGTTGTTGGGTGTACAATTCGTACAATTTTGAATCAAAAATTTATAGATAATCACATATAGCAAGATGAGTTATATAGTTCGTTTCTTTGGCGTTCGGAAACTTCCAGAAAGACGGTGTAGACAGTGGGTGTTCAAAAAAGGAAGCGTTAAGACGAGATTGACTTATGACAGTCTTCATTACTTTTCAAATAGTTTAAAAAGTAAATATCTCCTTATATTTCTTTTAAAGGCTCATTGACGTTGTTTTGCGCTGGGAACTGTTATACATGGATAACACCGTTGCTGTACAGGCTTAAGGAGCCTGATTCTGAGATTCCTTTGACCGCGGATCAAGGATCATGGGTCGTCGCCTTGATCGAAGTCGGCAATCTGATCACACCGATTCCCGCGGGGTTCCTCGTCGATCTTTGGGGAAGGAAGATCATGCTATGGCTCACCGGGCCGATCTACATCTTCACCTGGATCCTCGCCCTATCGACCAGGTCCGTCATCACTTTATACTTTATGAGGACAGTACAAGGTGAGCTAACCTTTTTTTAAATTTATTTGAGGTTTTATGCAGAAAATATTTAATTTTTGACATGAAATCATTCAACACAACTCTCTCCTTTACTTTCCATTGGCTCTCTATCTCTCCTCTTCTCCGGCTACCTTACCATTTATCTATACAATTTACCTGTCCAATTTACCTGTCTATACAATCTAATTTATCTGATTTTTTTTTGTTTATAGGGTTCTCCTTTCTCTCTCTCTCTCTCTCTCTCTCTCTCTCTCTCTCTCTCTCTCTCTCTCTCTCTCTCTCCCTTTCACCTCTTCTCTCCCTCTCCTCACGATCTCTCTCTCACTCACTCTCACTCTCTCTCTCTCCCTAACTCTCTCTATCTCTCTCTCTCCCTCTCTCTCTCCCTCTCTCTCTCTCCTTCTCTCCCTCTCACCCTCGCTCCCTCTCTCCATTCCTCTCCCTCCCTTCCTCTCTCCCTCTCACTCACTCTCTCTCTCTCTCTTTCTATCTCTCTCCCGCCATCTATCAATCTATCTATCTCTCCCTTCCACTCTCTTCTCTCTCTCTCTCTCTCTCTCTCTCTCTCTCTCTCTCTCTCTACCGCTCTGTCTATTTACCTATCTATATAATCTATTTTTTTTGTTATACGTTTCGTTCTTTCTCTCTTCCTCTCCCTCTCACCCCTTTTCACCCTTTCTACCTCACGTTCTCTCTCACTCTTTCGCTCTACCTCTACCTATCTACCTAATACAATCTAATTTATCTTGTTTTGTTTATGCATTTCTTTCTTTCTCTCTCCCTCAACCTCTCTCTCTCCTTCCTATCTATCCATCCCCCTCCCACTCCCTCCTCCCTTTCCCGTCCTCCCTTACACTCTCTCTCTCTCTCCCTCTCTCTTGTTTTCTCCATCTCACTTTTTTCCGAGATCACCATCTATCTATCTAAGTTTATGTTTCGCCTGCATAAGTTTATGATTTTCCCGAAAATCTGAGTGTAATAGAATTTGTAAAGACAAAATAACACCAACCATTCCGATCAACGAACAACTAAACACAATGTGCATTGTCTTTTAAAGAATTATTATCGTAAATGAAGTGTTTTTTTATTATCATATTTCAGCTTGGCTATTGTGTCTGTTGGATATTTTCTTACCGAAATATCTTATAGATATTATATCTTGAATTCATTTTGTAGTTCTGCATAGAAATTGATGTTCGAATAGCAAGGTTAACTAATAAATTTCGTTGTATTATTTTTAGCTTCAGGTCATGGTTATCCTCTATTGTTAGTCTATTAAATTCAGTCTGTATTGTGTGTGTGCTTTTTGTATAATCCATTAGAAAATGTTACTAGAACAAAACCAATATTTGATCTTTAACATCATGGAAAAGGATAGAGGACGGACTTTTTTTGTGACGTTAAAAACAATCATTCTTGCCAAATCTGAGCCAAAACGTGCAAAACAAACGAAATTGTTTAAAAGGATTTTTATCCTGTGCACTATAAAAACGCTATGCCGGTCAACTAGCTATCCCGCAGAGAGTTGGATTATACGTCTACGTTTGGAAAATTAGTCTGCCAGCATCAAGTGGCACCGTTTTCTGATGTACTTGTCCCGTTTTACACGGTTTCCTCATATAGCATGCGTTGTCTCTACACGAACAGCGAGATCGGACGGACCTGTGATATATCTGTTCTAATTGACAGGAAGCATGTGTTGATTTAACAAGCCCACGTAATTTGAAAATTGGTTATATTATTTTTCAGTTTGTTCAAATTAAATTTTTAACTGCGCTTATAACAGTGGCCGTAAAAGGATTGCTTTAAAGGCATGGGGTAAAATCTTTATTTTTTTATTCATTTATTGAGGTAGTCTTGAGATTTACAATATCGCCATTATCACTTCTTAAATATTTGTTGTTTTTTTCTCCCTTTTTCTAATTCACTGCTCATTTTGAGCAATACTATTCATTATTTTATTGTGTGGCAAAGGCAAACTAAGATTTGACCCATTTTTCTCTTGATACCGCAGCCTATGTCTACATGATTACATGCACGTTTATTCTAATCTTTCCAAATGTGAGTTTTTTACTCACAGTTTGTCGTTTTCAACGATAACTTCGAAGATTAAACGTTCATCATCAGGATGAAGAAGTTACAAGTACGTCTCTCGACATGAATTCACCCTTACAATTCATATCGAGAGAAGCTTTGTAACTTTATCAACCTGATGATGAAAGTTTAATGCTCAAAATGTGGATCGTCGAAAACGGCACACTGAGAAAAAACTATCATTTGGAAAGGTTAATTGTCATACTCACCCCATCTTCATCATTTCTATGCACGTTTATTCTATGTTAATATACGTTTTTCTTTTTCCTCGCCCTTTCACACTCTCACTCTCTCTCTTTCTCTCATTCAATGTTTCCCACATTTTCTCTCACTCTCTTCTTTCATCTCTCGCTCTTTTCCCCCTTTCTAACTCTTTCTCACTCTCTCCTTCTCATTATGTGACCAACATTTGCGAGTCTAAAAAAACTCTTCGTTCTTTGCATATATATGTATATGGGTTTGTTGATGCTACTCAGATTCTAGCAACACACCAATATACAAGCTTAAAAAAGCGTACAATTCATGCATTCCCTACTTTTTTCAACCCAAATTATTTGACCATATTTGACCTTTCTATTAAAAACTTAGATGGCTAAAGTTTAAAAGTAAAATTTACAATAACATCGCTTAAAATCGTTAAAACAGGAAAGCCCAGTTATTTAAAAAAATTAAATTGAGTTCATGAACAATACTCACAAACATAACACACAACTTTCAAAAAATTCATTTGTACCTACAAAACACAAACCTTAATTTTCAAACGATTGTTTGTAGTTTACGCTGCAAGAAACCTAAACAACCTTCAAGGAATGGTAAACTTATACTCAGTGCCATATTCACTGAGAAAAGCAATAATTAAATTTCATTTTGAGAAAGACATATAAAAACAAGAAAATTTAAATATTTGCTTGTTGTTCTGGTTTTACTATCCCATGAATAGAATAAAAATAAAATGGTAATGTTTGTGTTTAGGCCAGAGAGTATTCGTTATTCATCACAACGTAAATAAAAATGACGTTTAAAAATAAAAAGTAAATCATATTGACAAGATAATAAACATGTTAATTTGTTTACAAAAATTTTAAAAAAAGATCAATTAACTAAAAAATAAATGTTTAAATGAATAGTAATAAAACATTGTAAAAGCTAAAAATGAGTGAACTTGGTTTAAAATAGATATTTTATTACTTATAAAATGATAGCGATCATGTTTATTAAATAAAATTGAATGCATTTAATTTATAAGATTTTTTATGTATATTATTTCTCATTATTGAGATTAATAAATAAATCTTATTAGAGATTAATAAATAAATCTTACTAGAGATTAATAAATAAATCTTACTAGAGATTAATAAATAAATCTTACTAGAGATTAATAAATAAATCTTACTAGAGATTAATTAATAAATCTTCTCAGTGAGAAATAATGTACATAAAAAATGTTTAAAAATAATTTAAATTAAATGAAGTTAAATTAAAATTTAAAAATAATATAAAAAGGTTCCATTATAAAAGGAAACCTTTGTGAAAACATTTTCACCTAATGTTCTGTACATAATTGTAAGAGAGGACAGTATAGTCCTAAATTTGAACACATGAAAAATTAAAGTTCAGTTCACTCCTTTTCCTCTCTCTTTCGCACGATGATTTGACTGTTTTTATATTGACACACAACCCAAGTATGTACGGTTCCATACATGCATATTTATGCCTAGTTAAAATAATGGGTATTTTTCATTTTAGAATTAGTAATTTAAATTTAACCAGTAAAAAATGTAAAATAATCTATATTGACTGAATTATATCAATCAAATCGCTGGTTAATAAATTTTGCTCTTTTAAATATTTGTATGAGAAGTTTTCATTTTCTCAAAATTTAACAGAACTTAATACAATTTAAAAACTCATCAAAAATTAAAAGGCCATCTATTAAAAAAACTTCCTGTTTTTCACTTCATTGTGCCTCGTCAATAGACCTAATTTAAATTGTTTAAATGTAACGAGATTATGATTGACTCACTTGACTGGTTTTTGTCCGTCGCTAAGTGCTGTAACCGTTCATTAAACGCTTCAGCCGGCTGTATTATTTGTTAAACCGGCATGAACAATAATCATTCAAAACTCTTTCGACTATTCGCATCATAAAGATGGTAATCATTCGTTAAAAAACGTATTAATGCTTTTCTTTTTACATAATAAAAACGCCCAATTAAAATGTTGATACGTATACTAGAGTTTTAAGCTAAACCCCTTTTGAATAGGAAAAAACGCCTTTTGTAAAAGATAGACGGGAATATTTTTCTGAAAAATTAATTTGCGAATTTGCGAATTTGCAATGGCTCCCAATTAGAATTTCGTCTCATAAATTAATTCGAAACGCTTTCAACGAGAAAAGTTGCGAGAGGAAGTTCAAATAAAATAATATTTGCAAGCAATTAAGCTCAACAAACCATTCCTATAATTGTCTTTCTTAAATCCTTCCTTTTTGCATTATTTTTCAGATAATCCAACTTTGGCTCCTTTTTTCAAAGTATTGAAGTTTATAAACACAAATAATATTAATTTTATAGTTTAAGAGGAAAAAAAGATAAATATTTAACGCTTTGCCAATATAATGAATACCCTTACTCTTTATTTTATTTTTTTATTTATACTTATTTTAACGGCATTGTAAAAACTTTGAATTGAAATCGACTTGTAAGATCGTTGTTTACAAACTGCTTTAAAACACCTGCACATTTAACATGATTTAATATTTTTAAAACTGCAGATTTGAAAAGAGACTGAAGCCATGTTTCAAACAATTTCAAACTTCCTCTACCTCAATGTGGCTTCGTGGTTTTATCATAAAACAGTGGTTCAAATAAAATACACATTTTTTTTAACTTGCTTCGACCGCAGGT